TGAGGTGACAGTGTTGGAGTACAGCTTTGTCTTCAGTGAGGTGACAGTGTTGGAGTACAGCTTTGTCTTCAGTGAGGTGACAGTGTTGGAGTACAGCTTTGTCTTCAGTGAGGTGACAGTGTTGGAGTACAGCTTTGTCTTCAGTGAGGTGACAGTGTTGGAGTACAGCTTTGTCTTCAGTGAGGTGACAGTGTTGGAGTAGGTGACAATGTTGGAGTACAGCTTTGTCTTCAGTGAGGTGACAGTGTTGGAGTAGGTGACAATGTTAGAGTATAGCTTTGTCTTCAGTGAGGTGACAGTGTTGGAGTACAGCTTTGTCTTCAGTGAGGTGACAGTGTTGGAGTAGGTGACAATGTTGGAGTACAGCTTTGTCTTCAGTGAGGTGACAGTGTTGGAGTACAGCTTTGTCTTCAGTGAGGTGACAGTGTTGGAGTACAGCTTTGTCTTCAGTGAGATGACAGTGTTGGAGCACAGCTTTGTCTTCAGTGAGGTGACAGTGTTGGAGTACAGCTTTGTCTTCAGTGAGGTGACAGTGTTGGAGTACAGCTTTGTCTTCAGTGAGGTGACAGTGTTGGAGTACAGCTTTGTCTTCAGTGAGGTGACAGTGTTGGAGTACAGCTTTGTCTTCAGTGAGGTGACAGTGTTGGAGTACAGCTTTGTCTTCAGTGAGGTGACAGTGTTGGAGTACAGCTTTGTCTTCAGTGAGGTGACAGTGTTGGAGTACAGCTTTGTCTTCAGTGAGGTGACAGTGTTGGAGTACAGCTTTGTCTTCAGTGAGGTGACAGTGTTGGAGTACAGCTTTGTCTTTAGTGAGGTGACAATGTTGGAGTACAGCTTTGTCTTCAGTGAGGTGACAGTGTTGGAGTACAGCTTTGTCTTCAGTGAGGTGACAATGTTGGAGTACAGCTTTGTCTTCAGTGAGGTGACAGTGTTGGAGTACAGCTTTGTCTTCAGTGAGGTGACAGTGTTGGAGTACAGCTTTGTCTTCAGTGAGGTGACAGTGTTGGAGTACAGCTTTGTCTTCAGTGAGGTGACAGTGTTGGAGTACAGCTTTGTCTTCAGTGAGGTGACAGTGTTGGAGTACAGCTTTGTCTTCAGTGAGGTGACAGTGTTGGAGTACAGCTTTGTCTTCAGTGAGGTGACAGTGTTGGAGTACAGCTTTGTCTTCAGTGAGGTGACAGTGTTGGAGTACAGCTTTGTCTTCAGTGAGGTGACAGTGTTGGAGTACAGCTTTGTCTTCAGTGAGGTGACAGTGTTGGAGTACAGCTTTGTCTTCAGTAAGGTGACAGTGTTGGAGTACAGCTTTGTCTTCAGTGAGGTGACAGTGTTGGAGTACAGCTTTGTCTTCAGTGAGGTGACAGTGTTGGAGTACAGCTTTGTCTTCAGTGAGGTGACAGTGTTGGAGTACAGCTTTGTCTTCAGTGAGGTGACAATGTTGGAGTACAGCTTTGTCTTCAGTGAGGTGACAATGTTGGAGTAGGTGACAATGTTGGAGTACAGCTTTGTCTTCAGTGAGGTGACAGTGTTGGAGTACAGCTTTGTCTTCAGTGAGGTGACAGTGTTGGAGTACAGCTTTGTCTTCAGTGAGGTGACAGTGTTGGAGTACAGCTTTGTCTTCAGTGAGGTGACAGTGTTGGAGTACAGCTTTGTCTTCAGTGAGGTGACAGTGTTGGAGTACAGCTTTGTCTTCAGTGAGAGGTGACAATGTTGGAGTACAGCTTTGTCTTCAGTGAGGTGACAGTGTTGGAGTACAGCTTTGTCTTCAGTGAGAGGTGACAGTGTTGGAGTACAGCTTTGTCTTCAGTGAGGGTGACAGTGTTGGAGTACAGCTTTGTCTTCAGTGAGGTGACAGTGTTGGAGTACAGCTTTGTCTTCAGTGAGGTGACAGTGTTGGAGTACAGCTTTGTCTTCAGTGAGGTGACAGTGTTGGAGTACAGCTTTGTCTTCAGTGAGGTGACAGTGTTGGAGTACAGCTTTGTCTTCAGTGAGGTGACAGTGTTGGAGTACAGCTTTGTCTTCAGTGAGGTGACAGTGTTGGAGTACAGCTTTGTCTTCAGTGAGGTGACAGTGTTGGAGTACAGCTTTGTCTTCAGTGAGGTGACAGTGTTGGAGTACAGCTTTGTCTTCAGTGAGGTGACAGTGTTGGAGTACAGCTTTGTCTTCAGTGAGGTGACAGTGTTGGAGTACAGCTTTGTCTTCAGTGAGGTGACAGTGTTGGAGTACAGCTTTGTCTTCAGTGAGAGGTGACAGTGTTGGAGTGCAGCTTTGTCTTCAGTGAGGTGACAGTGTTGGAGTACAGCTTTGTCTTCAGTGAGAGGTGACAGTGTTGGAGTACAGCTTTGTCTTCAGTGAGGTGACAGTGTTGGAGTACAGCTTTGTCTTCAGTGAGGTGACAGTGTTGGAGCACAGCTTTGTCTTCAGTGAGGTGACAGTGTTGGAGCACAGCTTTGTCTTCAGTGAGGTGACAGTGTTGGAGCACAGCTTTGTCTTCAGTGAGGTGACAGTGTTGGAGCACAGGTTTGTCTTCGTGAGGTGACAATGTTGGAGCACAGCTTTGTCTTCAGTGAGGTGACAGTGTTGGAGCACAGCTTTGTCTTCAGTGAGGTGACAGTGTTGGAGCACATCTTTGTCTTCAGTGAGGTGACAGTGTTGGAGCACAGCTTTGTCTTCAGTGAGGTGACAATGTTGGAGTAAAGCTTTGTCTTCAGTGAGGTGACAGTGTTGGAGCACAGCTTTGTCTTCAGTGAGGTGACAGTGTTGGAGTACAGCTTTGTCTTCAGTGAGGTGACAGTGTTGGAGTACAGCTTTGTCTTCAGTGAGGTGACAGTGTTGGAGTACAGCTTTGTCTTCAGTGAGGTGACAGTGTTGGAGTACAGCTTTGTCTTCAGTGAGGTGACAGTGTTGGAGTACAGCTTTGTCTTCAGTGAGGTGACAGTGTTGGAGTACAGCTTTGTCTTCAGTGAGGTGACAGTGTTGGAGTACAGCTTTGTCTTCAGTAAGGTGACAGTGTTGGAGTACAGCTTTGTCTTCAGTGAGGTGACAGTGTTGGAGTACAGCTTTGTCTTCAGTGAGGTGACAGTGTTGGAGTACAGCTTTGTCTTCAGTGAGGTGACAGTGTTGGAGTACAGCTTTGTCTTCAGTGAGGTGACAATGTTGGAGTACAGCTTTGTCTTCAGTGAGGTGACAATGTTGGAGTAGGTGACAATGTTGGAGTACAGCTTTGTCTTCAGTGAGGTGACAGTGTTGGAGTACAGCTTTGTCTTCAGTGAGGTGACAGTGTTGGAGTACAGCTTTGTCTTCAGTGAGGTGACAGTGTTGGAGTACAGCTTTGTCTTCAGTGAGGTGACAGTGTTGGAGTACAGCTTTGTCTTCAGTGAGGTGACAGTGTTGGAGTACAGCTTTGTCTTCAGTGAGAGGTGACAATGTTGGAGTACAGCTTTGTCTTCAGTGAGGTGACAGTGTTGGAGTACAGCTTTGTCTTCAGTGAGAGGTGACAGTGTTGGAGTACAGCTTTGTCTTCAGTGAGGTGACAGTGTTGGAGTACAGCTTTGTCTTCAGTGAGGTGACAGTGTTGGAGTACAGCTTTGTCTTCAGTGAGGTGACAGTGTTGGAGTACAGCTTTGTCTTCAGTGAGGTGACAGTGTTGGAGTACAGCTTTGTCTTCAGTGAGGTGACAGTGTTGGAGTACAGCTTTGTCTTCAGTGAGGTGACAGTGTTGGAGTACAGCTTTGTCTTCAGTAAGGTGACAGTGTTGGAGTACAGCTTTGTCTTCAGTGAGGTGACAGTGTTGGAGTACAGCTTTGTCTTCAGTGAGGTGACAGTGTTGGAGTACAGCTTTGTCTTCAGTGAGGTGACAGTGTTGGAGTACAGCTTTGTCTTCAGTGAGGTGACAATGTTGGAGTACAGCTTTGTCTTCAGTGAGGTGACAATGTTGGAGTAGGTGACAATGTTGGAGTACAGCTTTGTCTTCAGTGAGGTGACAGTGTTGGAGTACAGCTTTGTCTTCAGTGAGGTGACAGTGTTGGAGTACAGCTTTGTCTTCAGTGAGGTGACAGTGTTGGAGTACAGCTTTGTCTTCAGTGAGAGGTGACAGTGTTGGAGTGCAGCTTTGTCTTCAGTGAGGTGACAGTGTTGGAGTACAGCTTTGTCTTCAGTGAGAGGTGACAGTGTTGGAGTACAGCTTTGTCTTCAGTGAGGTGACAGTGTTGGAGTACAGCTTTGTCTTCAGTGAGGTGACAGTGTTGGAGCACAGCTTTGTCTTCAGTGAGGTGACAGTGTTGGAGCACAGCTTTGTCTTCAGTGAGGTGACAGTGTTGGAGCACAGCTTTGTCTTCAGTGAGGTGACAGTGTTGGAGCACAGGTTTGTCTTCGTGAGGTGACAATGTTGGAGCACAGCTTTGTCTTCAGTGAGGTGACAGTGTTGGAGCACAGCTTTGTCTTCAGTGAGGTGACAGTGTTGGAGCACATCTTTGTCTTCAGTGAGGTGACAGTGTTGGAGCACAGCTTTGTCTTCAGTGAGGTGACAATGTTGGAGTAAAGCTTTGTCTTCAGTGAGGTGACAGTGTTGGAGCACAGCTTTGTCTTCAGTGAGGTGACAATGTTGGAGCACAGCTTTGTCTTCAGTGAGGTGACAGTGTTGGAGTACAGCTTTGTCTTCAGTGAGGTGACAGTGTTGGAGCACAGCTTTGTCTTCAGTGAGGTGACAGTGTTGGAGCACAGCTTTGTCTTCAGTGAGGTGACAGTGTTGGAGCACAGCTTTGTCTTCAGTGAGGTGACAATGTTGGAGCACATACTCAGCAGGTTCTGATGCTAAGCTGCAGGGAACCATCTCCATGTTTCCTACACCGACTGGCTCATGATTTAACGGGTAAAGAAACATCCCTCATGGAAGCCAGTAAAACATTGTTTTATATGTTATTTTTTACCTTTTCTACCTTCTTGATATAGATGGCTTCTTTTGGGGAAAATATTGAAAGTCCTTCTTGTTTTGTTTCCTTTAGGTGCGTCAGATTGACTGGGTAGATCGAGCTTGGCCAAGACATCTCAAGGAATGCCAAACAGAGTCCACCAACGTCATTGAAAAGATGAAATACCCCAAAGTGCAGAAGTGAGATCAGTTTAAAAAAATGTGTGGTTGTTTTGTTGATGGGGGAAGGGAGGATAGTAGGGCTGTACCGAATATTCGCTTTGGGGCCGAATAGTGGACCTATTGACTATTCGGCCGAATAGTTGCAGTCGAGCCGATTAAGAATAGTAGTTACCTTACACCCACTTCTGCATACACGGCCTTAATGCTGACAACATGGAGCGATTGGTTTTGTTGAAAGCTAATGCAGCTTTCCTGCATTAACTACGCTGTTAGTGACAATTTCTAAGTTTAGTTATTTGTTATAATACTTAGGATTATTTCATCCCTAGTTATAAGTTAACACGGACTGACTGAAGGATGCAAAACATAAAATGTTTTTAAATGTTTACTATTCTGTATGAACACTAACTAGACATGGAAAGAATCAAAACTCCGGAAACATGCAAGTACTTGGGTGCAAACTTCAACTGCTCCAACGTGCTGTAAGAAGAAATACAATCTAGAAGACAATCTAGAAATAAAGTATACTATGTCCTTTAACATCTGCTAAAGTCAAAATATCTGTCTCGCAACACCAAGATCAAAATATATAAAACGTTGATAAGACCAATTGTTTTATATGGCTCTGAGACTTGAAGCAGAAATTAAAGAGATGCCTTATTACAGGTTTTCGAAAACAAGTCTTACGACAAATCTTTGGACCCATCAAAGATGCTAACAGCGGGGAATGGAGAGTGAGAAGCAACAACGTAACACATAATGTTTAAATCACCATTGATCACTGGCATCATGAGAGCTAACAGACTAAAATGGTTAGGGCATATTGAAAGAATGTCAGATGACAGAGAAGTAAAAACTGTATACACGTGAGAGAGGAATGGGCGTAGACCACGAGGCAGACAAAAAAAAAAGTTTGAGAGATAATGTTTAGCCAGACTTGCAAACAACTGGTGTCACAAATTGTGAAGATAAGACCAGCCAAAGAGATGAATGGAGATGAGTGCAGCAGTAAACCTCAAGGGCTCAGAATGCTAAAGAAGAAGATGACTATTCTGTGCTACTTTATGTGAAGTAAAAGTTCAGCGTACATTTGACATGAATGTGGTTTTTTAATTTTTAGATATATTTTATACACTATTTGTATTCGGCTGAATAGTCGGTCCCGTTATTCGTATTTGGCCGAATAGTGAAAATCACTATTTGGTACAGCCCTAGAGGATAGTGATATCTCTTGTCCCCCTCCCCCCAACAGCTGATTAATCTACATATATTTAAAATTGTGTGCCACATCCACACAATTTTTTACCCTTTAAATTTGTTTTTGTGTGTGAGCCTTTCTTCTTGCATTCGTCCACTTGTTGTTGTTTGTGTCATTTGACTGACATCTTCGACATAAAGCATGTGTTGACATCATTAGCTCCCACAGTCAGCTGTTGTGGTTGTGTGTTTCAGCAGCTTAATAGAAATGGGTACAGTTGCTGCCAGTTCTGATTCAATAACCCAGAGCCATAATTATAACTGAAAAGGTCAGTGCCGCTGATGGTTGTTGTAGCTGTCCCTGGCATGTGAATGTTTGAAGCTCTTGAACTAAAGGCTTTCATTTCTTGAGGGCATTATGGATGAGGAATTTGCTAACTGCACAGCCATTTTATGAGGGCATTATGGATGAGGAACTTGCTAACTGCACAGCCATTTTGTGAGGGCATTATGGATGAGGAACTTGCTAACTGCACAGCCATTTTGTGAGGGCATTATGGATGAGGAACTTGCTAACTGCACAGCCATTTTGTGAGGGCATTATGGATGAGGAACTTGCTAACTGCACAGCCATTTTGTGAGGGCATTATGGATGAGGAACTTGCTAACTGCACAGCCATTTTGTGAGGGCATTATGGATGAGGAACTTGCTAACTGCACAGTCATTTTGTGAGGGCATTATGGATGAGGAACTTGCTAACTGCACAGTCATTTTGTGAGGGCATTATGGATGAGGAACTTGCTAACTGCACAGTCATTTTGTGAGGGCATTATGGATGAGGAACTTGCCAACTGCACAGCCATTTTGTGAGGGCATTATGGATGAGGAACTTGCTAACTGCACAGTCATTTTGTGAGGGCATTATAGATGAGGAACTTGCCAACTGCACAGCCATTTTGTGAGGGCATTATGGATGAGGAACTTGCTAACTGCACAGCCATTTTGTCGCCATTTGAAGCTATTGGGTTAAACTAACAGCTCGCAGAACTCACAAACATTATGTCTGCGTGTCCATTTATGGGACAGGGACAGTGAATTAATAGATGTTGATTAGAACTTATTTCAGTAAATTAAGTAGAGATCAGGGGCGCGTCACTAGGATTGAAACCTGCTGCCTCTATGAAAACAGCCCCACACTGAAACAAGTCAACATGGATGCAGAGTCAGGCAAATGCCTCACAGAAAACCTTTATCCACCTAAAGGCAGCTCTGTGCAGTTAGAGGATAGTCTTGGTGTCACCAGCACATTATTGTGTCTGCTGAAAACTATCAAATATTTGCCCTTTATTTACAGGTACTGCCTGATGAGTGTGGCTGGCTGTTACACAGACTTCCATGTAGACTTTGGTGGCACCTCTGTGTGGTATCACATACTGCATGGTGAGAAGGTCAGTGACACCATACATGTACACGTTTTTTGGGGCTCAGTTTGCAGAATTGAGGGTGTGTGTTTAGTCCAATCAGTTGGTAGGAAACATTTTTTTCTAACCTGTCTGGCAGTGTTTAAACATTAACTGGCTGTTTGTCAGTCTTAACTCCTGTATGGTTGGTCTGTCTTGTATGACTGTATGGTCACCCTGAACTTATTTTGTCATTTGTAAACTTTCCGGTAGACAGTGAAGCTATTGGGCTGGCTCTCATGTCACCTGGGTTCAAATAGGTGCTTGCATCCATCATAGTAAATTTTGTGTAGAGAAAACCTTCAGTGGGTTTCAGGTCCTCTTTTGGGAAGAAGGGGGGAAGAATCGACCCATTGCCCTCTAACCTACATGTTGTATAAGCAACTTATTAGGGGTTTGCTGAAATCTGCTGAATTGGGCTGAACCAGGCATCGGTCACTGCCTAGCTGTAAACCACTACATAATGTACCTACTGTCCTTTTAAGAGCAAAAATAGGGGGGGGGGGGGAGTTGTTAAGGTGCTTCCAGTGTACATTAGGAATATGCGGCTGTGGTAATGGCTATCACTGTTCTGGATAGGCATTTGGGGGAGGGGGTGGTAGTGGTTTGGGTGTTGGAACAGAACAGGCAAGGATGATATCCATGAAGTGTTTCTCAAGGAACCTACCAGCATCCATACTCATCTGATGCAGTATCAGATTCGTTGGGTTATTCATGTGGCACGCATGCCAGATCACAGGCTCCCAAAAAAAACTCTTCTATGGTGAGCTGCAAAATGGGAAACGTTCCCAAGGCGGGCAAAAGAAACGCTTTAAGGATACCTTGAAGTCTTCACTCAAAGCATTTGGGATGAATGATACCAATTGGGAGGCTGCCTCTCAGGACCAAAATGCATGGCGTGCAGCTCTACACAAGGGCGCGGCTACATGTGAAGCAAACAGAACAGCAAGACTGATTAAGAAAGGATGGACAGAAAGGCGACTGCTGGAGATCTCCTCCCTGGCACAACGCTCATTCCCTGTCCCCACTGTCGAAGAACTTTTCGGGCACACATCGGCCTTATCAGTCATCTTCGTACTCATACTTGATGAAAAAGAGTGGTAATCATCATCATCATCTTGATGGACAACACACCAGGGAAGGGTAAAGATGTCAGACAACATGTACACAAAAGATGTCAGACAACATGTACACAAAAGATGTCAGACAACATGTACACAAAAGATGTCAGACAACATGTACACAAAAGATGTCAGACAACATGTACCCAAAAGATGTCAGACAACATGTACCCAAAAGATGTCAGATGTGTTGGTTGAAGGGTACAAACATAAAAATAAGATATATGTACACATGCATGCAGAATCTTTGCCCCCTTGTATCTCTCTATTTGTAGATATTGAGTTGACAAATGTTGCAGCCATCATGCTGGTTTTTCTGCACAGATTTTCTGGCTAGCGCCTCCATCACAGAGAAACATTGACCGCTATGTTGAGTGGACATTGTCTGCCAAGCAAGGAGACACATTTTTGGGTGATCTGTTGGAGCAGTGCCAGAGGATTACTTTGGAGGCTGGATACACCTTCATCATACCGTCAGGTCAGTGAGACTGATTCCCAAAACTTTGTGCAGTAGAAGTGTTTAGAACATAAGAATTAACAGTAAACATTTTTTAAAAACAAAATGTAGATAAGTAAATGTTTACAAAATGTATTAGTGACATGTAAAATCATTGCTAAAAAGAATTTAAGCAGGGCCATGACCCATTTTTTTATAGCATTCTTGGGATGACAAGGTTAAAGGGCAGAAAGGTTAAAGCTGAGATGGAGTTTTAGAGATTATGACTACAGAACTAGTCCAGTGATATTATCCTCATGTATGCTTGTGTATCATCCGTCTCCAGGCTGGATTCATGCTGTCTACACACCCAAGGATTCTCTTGTGTTTGGGGGTAATTTTCTTCACAGCTTCAACATTGAGAACCAGTTGCTGGTTTCCCGAATTGAGGATAAGACTTACGTGAGTACTGAGAAATCACTGTTAACTCCTGAATCTTGCATATAAGCGAACTAACCACTTGTTAGGATGGAAGTCTACTATCATCAGAATAAAGGGATTTAGAAATAACATTCCTTGTATGCGTTCTGAAGCCCGGGTTGGGGGGGGGGGGGGATAGCCCCACTGCTTCCCTAACAAACATGTTATTGTGGGAGTCGACTAATTAGGGTTTTCCCCTAAAATTGGAGCACAGATAAACCAGATCTGTTCAGGGGATAAGCATGCAAAACTCAATTTCTGTCAGGTAGGGGACAAACAGCTAGAAAGTTCCACTGGAGTTTACAGCCAGTGAACATGAAGAAGAAAATCAGTGAAAGGTGAGACTCCAGGAAGGCAAGGCAACGATGATCGACACAACACTGGGCACAGGGCAGTAACATTTATGTTAGGGACGATTTATTACACAACATAATTATTCATGGATCAGGTCTTTTTGTGGGCTGACATTTTGCAGTGGGCTATACCTGATAATTCTTGCTGGCATCTTTCCATCTCTCCAGACAAGAGTGTTTCAGTGGGCTATACCTGATGATGATTCTTGCTGGCATCTTTCCATCTCTCCAGACAAGAGTGTTTCATTGGGCTATAGCTGATGATAATTCTTGCTGGCATCTTTCCATCTCTCCAGACAAGAGTGTTTCATTTTGCTATAGGGAGGCATAGGAATCAACAGCCCATGATGATATTAGTTGTTCCTCTTCTGCATAACACATAGAACACAGCACATAACACACAGCACATAACACACAGCACATAACACATAGAACACAGCACATAACACACAGCACATAACACACAGCACATAACACATAGAACACAGCTCATAATACACAGCACATAACACACAGCTTATAACACACATCACATAACACATAGAACACAGCACATAACACATAGAACACAGCTCAAAGGCTGGGCAGTATTGTAGAGACAGTGAGTGGCCCATGCAGCTTGATCCTGATCTCAACCTGTTTTGCTAACTCCAGAGGAAAAGTAACACTAATACTACTGAAGCAAAGCAGGCGGCAGAAGCTACAGGATCAGACAAGCAGTGCCCTTCTGCTGTTGGAGCTTCCCTCCCAGACCAGCTGCCAATCAAGGCTAAGGCCTTTCTGCTGTTGGAGCTTCCCTCCCAGACCAGCTGCCAATCAAGGCTAAGGCCTTTCTGCTGTTGGAGCTTCCCTCCCAGACCAGCTGCCAATCAAGGCTAAGGCCTTTCTGCTGTTGGAGCTTCCCTCCCAGACCAGCTGCCAATCAAGGCTAAGGCCCTTCTGCTGATGGAGCTTCCCACCCAGACCAGCTGCCAATCAAGGCTAAGGCCTTTCTGCTCTTCCTAAACATTATGTTGTCAGGTTGTATTTCCTTATTTTAGGATAATTCTAATATTCCTTCCCAATGAGCTTCTCTGCCATTATGCTTTTAATAAATTGAAGCTTCTGTTTCCTCAGGTCCCTTCCAAGTTTCGGTATCCGTTCTACTTAGAGATTATGTGGTATGTGGTTGACCGCTACATCAGCTGTCTGACAGGCCGGTCTTTTCTCAGCTCCTATGAAAAAGATGATGTTGATGAAGATGATCAAGGATTCATCCAAGTAGATGAAGATTCTAGGCCTCCCTCACGGAACCCTGACTCACGGCCCCCATCCAGGGCTATGGATGATAATATAGATACTAAAGTGAGTAGATCACCAATTATTTTTCCCCACCCTCTCCTTTTCTTGATCTTTCACTATTCTTTTAATTCTCTTTGTTCTTTCCTTGTTTTTCCTTCTCCTTGCTGTGCTTCTTTTTTCCCTCTTTCTTTCTTTTTTCCCCTCCTTTTTGTTTGTACAAAAATCTTTACATTAATTATTTAAATCTTCTTCTTACTCTTTACTGGCTGCAAACTCCGGTAGAGAGTTCTAGTTGTTAGTCCACTTTGGGACTCCGGTCTCATTCTAGAACTTGAGTTTTGCATGCACATCAGTTTTACAGATGTGGCTTATTTGTGTGCAGATTGTATGCGCTTAGAAGGAAACATGCCTAACTAGGGGCCTGTTACCTTGGGGATCCATTGTGGCAGGAAGGTTGACCTACTGCATACCTAACTAGTGGCCTGTTACCTTGGGGATACATTGTGGCAGGAAGGTTGACCTACTGCCTCCCTAACTAGTGGCCTGTTTCCTTGGCGATCCATTGTGGCAGGAAGGCTGACCTACTGCCTCCCTAACTAGTGGCCTATTACCTTGGGGATCCATTGTGGCAGGAAGGTTGACCTACTGCCTCCCTAACTAGTGGCCTATTATATTACCTTGGGGATCCATTGTAGCAGGAAGGCTGACCTACTGCCTCCCTAACTAGTGGCCTATTACCTTGGGGATCCATTGTGGCAGGAAGGTTGACCTACTGCCTCCCTAACTAGTGGCCTATTACCTTGGGGATCCATTGTGGCAGGAAGGCTGACCTACTGCCTCCCTAACTAGTGGCCTATTACCTTGGGGATCCATTGTGTTGGGTGTTGCAGGAAGGTTGACCTACTGCCTCCCTAACTAGTGGCCTGTTACCTTGGGGATCCATTGTGGTGGGTGTGGCAGGAAGGTTGACCTACTGCCTCCCTAACTAGTGGCCTGTTACCTTGTGGATCCATTGTGGTGGGTGTGGCAGGAAGGTTGACCTACTGCCTCCCTAACTAGTGGCCTGTTACCTTGTGGATCCATTGTGGTGGGTGTGGCAGGAAGGTTGACCTACTGCCTCCCTAACTAGTGGCCTGTTACCTTGTGGATCCATTGTGGTGGGTGTGGCAGGAAGGTTGACCTACTGCTTCTCTAACTAGTGGCCTGTTACCTTAGGGATCCATTGTGGTGGGTGTGGCAGAAAGGTTGACCTACTGCCTCCCTAACTAGTGGCCTGTTACCTTGTGGATCCATTGTGGTGGGTGTGGCAGGAAGGTTGACCTACTGCCTCCCTAACTAGTGGCCTGTTACCTTAGGGATCCATTGTGGTGGGTGTGGCAGGAAGGTTGACCTACTGCCTCCCTAACTAGTGGCCTGTTACCTTGTGGATCCATTGTGGTGGGTGTGGCAGAAAGGTTGACCTACTGCCTCCCTAACTAGTGGCCTGTTACCTTGTGGATCCATTGTGTTTGGTGTGGCAGGAAGGTCGACCTACTGCCTCCCTAACTAGTGGCCTGTTACCTTGGGGATCCATTGTGGTGGGTGTGGCAGAAAGGTTGACCTACTGCCTCCCTAACTAGTGGCCTGTTACCTTGGGGATCCATTGTGGTGGGTGTGGCAGGAAGGTTGACCTACTGCCTCCCTAACTAGTGGCCTGTTACCTTGGGGATCCATTGTGGTGGGTGTGGCAGGAAGGTCGACCTACTGCCTCCCTAACTAGTGGCCTGTTACCTTGGGAACCCATTGTGGTGGGTGTGGCAGGAAGGTCGACCTACTGCCTCCCTAACTAGTGGCCTGTTACCTTGGGAACCCATTGTGGTGGGTGTGGCAGGAAGGTCGACCTACTGCCTCCCTAACTAGTGGCCTGTTACCTTGGGAACCCATTGTGGTGGGTGTGGCAGGAAGGTCGACCTACTGCCTCCCTAACTAGGGGCCTGTTACCTTGGGGATACATTGTGGTGGGTGTGGCAGAAAGGTCGACCTACTGCCTCCCTAACTAGTGGCCTGTTACCTTGGGGATCCATTGTGGTGGGTGTGGCAGGAAGGTTGACCTACTGCCTCCCTAACTAGTGGCCTGTTACCTTGGGGATACATTGTGGCAGGAAGGCTGACCTACTGCCTCCCTAACTAGTAGCCTGTTACCTTGGGGATACATTGTGGCAGGAAGGCTGACCTACTGCATCCCTAACTAGTGGCCTGTTTCCTTGGCGATCCATTGTGGCAGGAAGGTTGACCTACTGCCTACTTAACTAGTGGCCTGTTACCTTCGGGATCCATTGTGGCAGGAAGGTTGACCTACTGCCTCCATAACTAGTAGCCTGTTACCTTGGGGATCCATTGTGGCAGGAAGGTTGACTTACTGTCTCCCTAACTAGTGGCCTGTTACCTTGGGGATACATTGTGGCAGGAAGGTCGACCTACTGTCTCCCTAACTAGTGGCCTGTTACCTTGGGAATCCATTGTGGCAGGAAGGTTGACCTACTGCCTCCCTAACTAGTGGCCTGTTACCTTGAGGATCCATTGTGGCAGGAAAGTTGACCTACTGTCTCCCTAACTAGTGGCCTGTTACCTTGGGGATACATTGTGGCAGGAAGGTCGACCTACTGTCTCCCTAACTAGTGGCCTGTTACCTTGGGAACCAATTGTGGTGGGTGTGGCAGGAAGGTCGACCTACTGCCTCCCTAACTAGTGGCCTGTTACCTTGGGGATCCATTGTGGTGGGTGTGGCAGAAAGGTTGACCTACTGCCTCCCTAACTAGTGGCCTGTTACCTTGGGGATCCATTGTGGTGGGTGTGGCAGGAAGGTTGACCTACTGCCTCCCTAACTAGTAGCCTGTTACCTTGGGAACCCATTGTGGTGGGTGTGGCAGGAAGGTTGACCTACTGCCTAACTAGTGGCCTGTTACCTTGGGGATCCATTGTGGTGGGTGTGACAGGAAGGTTGACCTACTGTCTCCCTAACTAGTGGCCTGTTACCTTGGGGATACATTGTAGTGGGGGTGGCAGGAAGGTTGACCTACTGCCTCCCTAACTAGTGGCCTGTTACCTTGGGGATACATTGTGGCAGGAAGGCTGACCTACTGCCTCCCTAACTAGTGGCCTGTTTCCTTCGGGATCCATTGTGGCAGGAAGGTTGACCTACTGCCTCCCTAACTAGTGGCCTGTTACCTTGGGGATCCATTGTGGTGGGTGTGGCAGGAAGGTTGACCTACTGCCTCCCTAACTAGTAGCCTGTTACCTTGGGAACCCATTGTGGTGGGTGTGGCAGGAAGGTTGACCTACTGCCTAACTAGTGGCCTGTTACCTTGGGGATACATTGTGGCAGGAAGGCTGACCTACTGCCTCCCTAACTAGTGGCCTGTTTCCTTCGGGATCCATTGTGGCAGGAAGGTTGACCTACTGCCTCCCTAACTAGTGGCCTGTTACCTTGGGGATCCATTGTGTTTGGTGTGGCAGGAAGGTTGACCTACTGCCTCCCTAACTAGTGGCCTGTTACCTTGGGAACCCATTGTGGTGGGTGTGGTAGGAAGGTTGACCTACTGCCTCCCTAACTAGTGGCCTGTTACCTTGGGGATCCATTGTGTTTGGTGTGGCAGGAAGGTTGACCTACTGCCTCCCTAACTAGTGGCCTGTTACCTTGGGGATCCATTGTGGTGGGTGTGGCAGGAAGGTTGACCTACTGCCTCCCTAACTAGTGGCCTGTTACCTTGGGAACCCATTGTGGTGGGTGTGGCAGGAAGGTTGACCTACTGCCTCCCTAACTAGTGGCCTGTTACCTTGAGGATCCATTGTGGTGGGTGTGGCAGGAAGGTTGACCTACTCCCTAACTTAGTGGCCTGTTACCTTGTGGATCCATTGTGGTGGGTGTGGCAGGAAGGTTGACCTACTGCCTCCCTAACTAGTGGCCCGTTACCTTGGGGATCCATTGTGGTGGGTGTGGCAGGAAGGTTGACCTACTGCCTACCTAACTTGTGGCCTGTTACCTTGGGGATCCATTGTGGCAGGAAGGTCGACCTACTGCCTCCCTAACTAGTGGCCTGTTACCTTGAGGATCCATTGTGGTGGGTGTGGCAGGAAGGTTGACCTACTGCCTAACTAGTGGCCTGTTACCTTGGGGATCATTGTGGTGGGTGTGGCAGGAAGGTTGACCTACTGCCTAACTAGTGGCCTGTTACCTTGGGGATCCATTGTGTTGGGTGTGGCAGGAAGGTTGACCTACTGCCTCCCTAACTAGTGGCCTGTTACCTTGGGGATCCATTGTGTTGGGTGTGGCAGGAAGGTTGACCTACTGCCTCCCTAACTAGTGGCCTGTTACCTTGGGGATCCATTGTGGTGGGTGTGGCAGGAAGGTTGACCTACTGCCTCCCTAACTAGTAGCCTGTTACCTTGGGAACCCATTGTGGTGGGTGTGGCAGGAAGGTTGACCTACTGCCTCCCTAACTAGTAGCCTGTTACCTTGGGGATACATTGTGGCAGGAAGGCTGACCTACTGCCTCCCTAACTAGTGGCCTGTTTCCTTCGGGATCCATTGTGGCAGGAAGGTTAACCTACTGCCTCCCTAACTAGTGGCCTGTTACCTTGGGGATCCATTGTGGCAGGAAGGTTGACCTACTGCCTCCCTAACTAGTGGCCTGTTACCTTGGGGATCCATTGTGTTTGGTGTGGCAGGAAGGTTGACCTACTGCCTCCCTAACTAGTGGCCTGTTACCTTGGGGATCCATTGTGGTGGGTGTGGCAGGAAGGTTGACCTACTGCCTCCCTAACTAGTGGGGCCTGTTACCTTGGGGATCCATTGTGTTTGGTGTGGCAGGAAGGTTGACCTACTGCCTCCCTAACTAGTGGCCTGTTACCTTGGGAACCCATTGTGGTGGGTGTGGCAGGAAGGTTGACCTACTGCCTCCCTAACTAGTGGCCCTGTTACCTTGAGGATCCATTGTGGTGGGTGTGGCAGGAAGGTTGACCTACTCCCTAACTTAGTGGCCTGTTACCTTGTGGATCCATTGTGGTGGGTGTGGCAGGAAGGTTGACCTACTGCCTCCCTAACTAGTGGCCCGTTACCTTAGGGATCCATTGTGGTGGGTGTGGCAGGAAGGTTGACCTACTGCCTACCTAACTTGTGGCCTGTTACCTTGGGGATCCATTGTGGCAGGAAGGTCGACCTACTGCCTCCCTAACTAGTGGCCTGTTACCTTGGGAACCCATTGTGGTGGGTGTGGTAGGAAGGTTGACCTACTGCCTCCCTAACTAGTGGCCTGTTACCTTGGGGATCCATTGTGGTGGGTGTGGTAGGAAGGTTGACCTACTGCCTCCCTAACTAGTGGCCTGTTACCTTGGGGATCCATTGTGGTGGGTGTGGCAGGAAGGTTGACCTACTACCTCCCTAACTAGTGGCCTGTTACCTTGGGGATCATTGTGGTGGGTGTGGCAGGAAGGTTGACCTACTGCATCCCTAACTAGTGGCCTATTACCTTGGGGATCCATTGTGGTGGGTGTGGCAGGAAGGTTGACCTACTGTCTCCCTAACTAGTGGCCTGGTACCTTGGGGATACATTGTAGTGGGGGTGGCAGGAAGGTTGACTTACTGCCTCCCTAACTGGCATGTCTGTCATAAAAGGACACTAATTATGGATGTGTCCTTCCAAGTGTCTGTGTGGCAAGGAACTAACAGTCTGCATATGGAAAGCCAGATTTGTAAAACATATATACACGGTAAACTCAAGTACCGGATTAATAAAGACCAAAGTCCAGAGCTGATGAAAAACCAGTTTACAGTAGGTAAACGCTAAGAAGAGGAGGAAGTTTCTTGCTGACTGTCGTGGGTCATTTCTGCGTCTCCGCTTCTTCTTTTTATCAATAACCTTGATTAATTTCTGGGCCGACACCTTTAAACACCACGAATACATGCTAGCGGTTGTTTTCTTCTCCTTTTTTCTGTATTCATAAATCATTTTAGTCCTCGCAAACTCCATTAATGTGAAACAAAATTTACAGTTTTATGTGTGACACATCTCCAGTTTCACAAACTCCCAAAATGTAATATTAAATTGAAAATTTTATCTGTGCTATATCTCCAGTTGTCATAAATACCATTAATGTGACATGAAACTGTCAGTTTTGTCTGTAATATTTCTCCAGTTGTCACAAACCCCATTAATAATGAAATTAACAGTTTTATCTGTGAAATCAGGGGTTGCATTAGTGCAGTCACTAAGAGACTCGCTTTCAAATCTAACTGCGACTCGCTGCAGCCCATGGCCGGTGTTTAAAACAGGACTGTTCCTGGGGTTTACCCAGCTTTTAGGAAATTTGTACCAAAGTTAATCAAGTAACAGACAGTGTATTGATCGGCACTCTAGAAAGGGATAAATTATTTATGGGATAAATGGAGTAACGTTGCTGTTACCTGCGGATGGCGACACATGCGGACAGTTTCTTATCGGCTGTCTGTACTGGTGGCAGAGCATTTATGGTTTATAACCATGGGCAATGATCCTGGTTCACATCTCCCGACTTTTATCTGTGAATTATAAATTTTGTCTGTGATATACTTGCAGGTCAAGTCTGACAGTGGAGAAGACACCCCAAAACTATCCAAAAGTGTCACCATTGAGCTGACACGCATTGACGCTGCACTCAGAAGGTCACAAAGTGAGGAGGAGAATCAGCCTCCTCATGCAAGACCCAGGGCGCCAAGGAAAACAGTTTCCGATCCCAACAATGCTTGGGAGGGTGGGGGAGGTGCCAGAAAGTGGATTCATCTGACCTGCACTGAACAGAAAGGTCTGCGACATCTGGTGGATTACCTGAGTGGGCTGATGACGCTGTCCCCCAACAAGAGAGGAGTGCCTAAAGAAATGTTGGATCCTGAAGCAGCTCTGAGGGAAATCAAGGTACAACTTTTTCACATCTCTTGCTGACTTGGTTACAGCAGCCAACTCATGTATGTTTTAAAAAATGGAAAGATTTAGATTGAAAGTAATCTTCTTTGTCTGGTTCTTCTTGTACCCTTCTTTTTCTGCTGCTTCTTTTCTTGCTCTTACCTTCTGCCACTCCCACTCTTCCTGCTGGTCTCCTTCCCAAGGGAAAGCTGAGTCACATAAGACTGCCTTTTGTTGATCAAAGCAATCAGAAATATTTTTGCAAATGCTGCTTCTCAGCCTGTACCCTTCAACTGACCTTAACTAACAGTTATCATTAATTTCTAACACACATCGTTATCATTAGGTTCTTACACATCGTTATTAGGTTCTTATACACATCGTTATCATTAGGTTCTAACACATTGTTATCATTAGGTTCTTACACACATAATTATCATTAGCTTCTAGCACACATCATTATCATTAGGTTCTAACACACATTGTTATCATTTGGTTCTAACACATTGTTATCATTTGGTTCTAACACACATTGTTATCATTTGGTTCTAACACACATCGTTATCATTAGATTCTAACACACATTGTTATCATTAGGTTCTAACACACATTGTTATCATTAGGTTCTAACACACATCGTTATCATTAGATTCTAACACACATTGTTATCATTAGGTTCTAACACACATTGTTATCATTAGGTTCTTAGACACATAATTATCATTAGCTTCTAAAACACATTGTTATCATTAGGTTCTAACACACATTGTTATCATTAGTTTCTAACACACATTATCATCATTAGGTTCTAACACACATTGTTATCATTAGGTTCTAACACACATTGTTATCATTAGTTTCTAACACACATTGTTATCATTAGGTTCTAACACCATCGTTATCATTAGGTTCTAACACACATCGTTATCATTAGGTTCTAACACACATCGTTATCATTAGGTTCTAACACACATCGTTATCATTAGGTTCTAACACACATTGTAACATTAGATTTTAACACACATCGTTATCATTTGGTTCTAACACACATCATTAATCAAGAACTAAGGGTGAAAAGCTTAAACGTAAAGATTTTGAAAATTCACAACGTAATTTAAAGAAACGTAATGAATTTGTGACTTATTTACTCTGTAATTTGAAAAACTCAGGATGTATGTAAGAAATGTGCAACTTATTCACTATCTGATTTGACAAACTGAAGGTGTAACAAATTCATAACATTTGTTTTTATGTTCGCATTTGCAGCAAGTTCTAGAGGACCATAAGAATGATGATCAGGAGTTGGCGATAACCGGAGAGCCAGTGATTGGCTGGCCAGAGTCTGCCAAGGTAGGACCTTCACAACTGCAGATAGATAAATGACCTCTGGATATTGTGGTAACAGAGAGTGAAATAAAAGGGGTTTTCTTTGAAGTTTAAGAAGGGGAAATAATGGTAAAAAAAAAAAAAGCAAGATAACATCAAAATGTGACATTACAATAACAGAGAAGGCATAAAACTTTCATTCCATAAACCCTTCGGAGATAAAAGCCTCTTGTACTCTCAGACAAGATTTCAGGGAACAGACAAATATTAATCAGTTGCACTCATCTCATCAAACATTGTAATTGCTCCAATATTTTTTTATTTAATGCCTCAGTTAATTTTGGAGCAATCACAAAGTTTGATGAAATAAGCCTAACAAATCAATATTTGTCTGTTCCCTGAAATCTTGTCTGTCTATACTTATGGCATTCACCATGTTATTTCTCTATCATGTACTATTTCAAACATTTTGGAACAGTCAGTTGCTCTCATAGAAAATCTGTCTGCAGCCCCCTACAGTCTGTCTATTATATATTTAGACAGTAATTCTGGTTTGTTCAATTCACAGAAAAAGCAGCAGAAGCTGAAACTTGGATACAAGACTTTCAAAACAGCTAAAGCTGTTAAAGGTTCTACAACGACATCTTCATCCATACGCAGACGCAGGACCAGGTGCAAGCAGTGTGAGGCATGTACCAGAACCGAGTGTGGAGAATGTACCTTCTGCAAAGACATGAAAAAGTTTGGGGGACCTGGCCGTATGAAGCAGACCTGCATCAGTCGGCAGTGTATGGCTGTAAGTATTTGTACATCCTCATCACCACCACTACCATCAGCATTATCAAGGCACATGGCTCATTAGTAACTCCATGACAGAAATGTATGTCCTTAAATACAGCTAAACCAGCACCGTCACAGAAAACACATCAGCCTTTGATATCATCTACAACAAGCAGTCAGCAGTTTGCCCTAGAGGTGGCTTGCTCACCCTACCGCATTCATCTGGAGTACTTAACAGTCGCCACTCACAGACTGGTCTTCCAATTGTTATAGGCATTACCCGGGTCTGAACCAACAGCCTCCGATCCTCCGAGCCTACGCTTCTGTACCCAACGCTGAGACTGCTGTGCTATTGCACGGCTCTTAATAGTGTGATAAGACAAACCCCCGTCATTGCGCAGTTGCCTGGTTACTGGCTCATGAACTCATTCTCTTCTACTGTACTGACAAATGCCTTGCGTGAACCACACAACACATTACGCCTACGCCAACACATTATCACAAACTACCCGTCACTAATTTAGGTCAAATACGGAAAAAGCGAGTGGTCAAAATGCCACGTCTTATCCAAGACCCTCAGCCAAACTCCCTGAAAACCATCTCCCGTAGCTTCTGTCCAGTCCGTGAGAGCCGCGTGAACCTGGGAGTGATTAGTTCATCCATTACGCTTATCTGGTCAAAGTCTCTGTGGGTTGTTAAACATGCAGTCACTAAACGGTCAACTAAATTCTAGTCCACTATTTACTATCATCATTCACTGCCATCTCATAGCCACACAGACCCTTGATAACTATCATCATCATCAACATCATCACCATGTGCCTCTTCTATCTGTTGACAGCCAATACTACCCAGCTCCTCAGTATGCATGATCTGTAATCAGGAAGGGCGGCCAAACCCCGACGACCCGGATGATGTGTCAACATCCTTGATGGAATGTGGGATCTGCTGGGAGATTGTGCATCCCTCCTGTTTACAGAAAAAGTAAGCATAACAATTATGTGTGTCATAAATTCATAGTCTTTGCTGTTCAGAAACCATAGATGAGATTGGTACTGGAGGCAGTCCTACAGGGGGACATGTCAAAGGCAGATTAGCATGAATTAGAGAACAATCCAAGTGGGAAGATAGTATCAAGAGAATTATGACAGCTCGATCTGGCTGCATGTATAATTTAGGTCAAAGACAGCATGTTGATGTGACCCTTCTACAGTTAGAAATGCTACCCTTCTCCAGTTAGAGATGTGACCCTTATCCAGTTAGAGATGTGACCCTTATTCAGTTAGAGATGTGACCCTTCTCCAGTTAGAGATGTGACCCTTATTCAGTTAGAGAAGTGACCCTTATCCAGTTAAGAGAAGTGACCCTTATCCAGTTAGAGAAGTGACCCTTCTCCAGTTAGAGATGTGACCCTTCTCCAGTTAGAGATGTGACCCTTTTCCAGTTAGAGATGTGACCCTTCTCCAGTTAGAGATGTGACCCTTCTCCAGTTAGAGATGTGACCCTTCTCCCTGGAGAGGGCCCTTGAGTGATTGGTTGATACTAAAAAAGAGAATATAGGCACTAAATAAGTCTTGCCTCTCTTATATATTGAGAAGAAAAAAAAAATCAGGGGATCTTTGCTGGAGCTGTTGTTTTTGTGCTTTGCACATCGCTTTGTGTAGATGGCTAGCCATTATGTGGAGAGAAGGCTAGCCATTATGTGGAGAGAAGGCTAGCCATTATGTGGAGAGAAGGCTAGCCATTATGTGGAGAGAAGGCTAGCCATTATGTGGAGAGAAGGCTAGCCATTATGTGGAGAGAAGGCTAGCCATTATGTGGAGAGATGGCTAGCCATTATGTGGAGAGAAGGCTAGCCATTATGTGGAGAGATGGCTAGCCATTATGTGGAGAGAAGGCTAGCCATTATGTGGAGAGAAGGCTAGCCATTATGTGGAGAGAAGGCTAGCCATTATGTGGAGAGAAGGCTAGCCATTATGTGGAGAGATGGCTAGCCATTATGTGGAGAGATGGCTAGCCATTATGTGGAGAGAAGGCTAGCCATTATGTGGAGAGAAGGCTAGCCATTATGTGGAGAGATGGCTAGCCATTATGTGGAGAGATGGCTAGCCATTATGTGGAGAGAAGGCTAGCCATTATGTGGAGAGAAGGCTAGCCATTATGTGGAGAGATGGCTAGCCATTATGTGGAGAGAAGGCTAGCCATTATGTGGAGAGAAGGCTAGCCATTATGTGGAGAGATGGCTAGCCATTATGTGGAGAGATGGCTAGCCATTATGTGGAGAGAAGGCTAGCCATTATGTGGAGAGAAGGCTAGCCATTATGTGGAGAGAAGGCTAGCCATTATGTGGAGAGATGGCTAGCCATTATGTGGAGAGAAGGCTAGCCATTATGTGGAGAGAAGGCTAGCCATTATGTGGAGAGAAGGCTAGCCATTATGTGGAGAGAAGGCTAGCCTTATGTGGAGAGATGGCTAGCCATTATGTGGAGAGATGGCTAGCCATTATGTGGAGAGAAGGCTAGCCATTATGTGGAGAGAAGGCTAGCCATTATGTGGAGAGATGGCTAGCCATTATGTGGAGAGATGGCTAGCCATTATGTGGAGAGAAGGCTAGCCATTATGTGGAGAGAAGGCTAGCCATTATGTGGAGAGAAGGCTAGCCATTATGTGGAGAGATGGCTAGCCATTATGTGGAGAGAAGGCTAGCCATTATGTGGAGAGAAGGCAAACCTTACATTATTGGATAAAATGTAGGGCACTGAAGTCGATTCTGTCTGCGTCTGCATCTCATTTATCTTCTTCCAGTATCTGATCCGCAGCAGATGTCGTTGATCAGGATGTTTTGTATAATATTTTATAAAGTTGATGATTCTCAGATTATTTTTTCCACCTGTGGGTACAGTTTGTTTTTTTGGGGTCATATTTAAAGTGTTTTTATGACTGTAGTGTGTGTGCCATCACACCCACACACGTGTTAGTGACTGTAGTGTGTGTGCCATCACACCCACACACATGTTAGTGACTGTAATGTGTGTGCCATCACACCCACACATGTGTTAGTGACTGTAGTGTGTGTGCCATCACACCCACACATGTGTTAGTGACTGTAGTGTGACACCCACACATGTGTTAGTGACTGTAGTGTGTGTGCCATCACACCCACACATGTGTTAGTGACTGTAGTGTGTGTGGCATCACACCCACACACGTGTTAGTGACTGTAGTGTGTGTGGCATCACACCCACACACGTGTTAGTGACTGTAGTGTGTGTGCCATCACACCCACACACGTGTTAGTGACTGTAGTGTGTGTGGCATCACACCCACACACGTGTTAGTGACTGTAGTGTGTGTGCCATCACACCCACACACGTGTTAGTGACTGTAGTGTGTGTTGTATCACACCCACACATGTGTTAGTGACTGTAGTGTGTTTGCCATCACACCCACACATGTGTTAGTGACTGTAGTGTGTGTGGCATCACACCCACACATGTGTTAGTGACTGTAGTGTGTGTGGCATCACACCCACACATGTGTTAGTGACTGTAGTGTGTTTGCCATTACACCCACACATGTGTTAGTGACTGTAGTGTGTGTGCCATCACACCCACACATGTGTTAGTGACTGTAGTGTGTGTGGCATCACACCCACACACGTGTTAGTGACTGTAGTGTGTGTGCCATCACACCCACACACGTGTTAGTGACTGTAGTGTGTGTGCCATCACACCCACACACGTGTTAGTGACTGTAGTGTGTGTGCCATCACACCCACACACGTGTTAGTGACTGTAGTTTGTGTGCCATCACACCCACACACGTGTTAGTGACTGTAGTGTGTGTGCCATCACACCCACACACGTGTTAGTGACTGTAGTGTGTGCGCTATCACACCCACTCACGTGTTGGTGACTGTAGTGTGTGCGCCATCACACCCACACACGTGTTAGTGACTGTAGTGTGTGCGCCATCACACCCACACATGTGTTAGTGACTGTAGTGTGTGCGCCATCACACCCACACACGTGTTAGTGACTGTAGTGTGTGTGCCATCACACCCACACACGTGTTAGTGACTGTAGTGTGTGTGCCATCACACCCACACACGTGTTAGTGACTGTAGTGTGTGCGCCATCACACCCACACACGTGTTAGTGACTGTAGTGTGTTTGCCATCACACCCACACACGTGTTAGTGACTGTAGTGTGTGTGCCATCACACCCACACATGTGTTAGTGACTGTAGTGTGTGTGCCATCACACCCACACACGTGTTAGTGACTGTAGTGTGTGTGCCATCACACCCACACACGTGTTGGTGACTGTAGTGTGTGTGCCATCACACCCACACACGTGTTAGTGACTGTAGTGTGTGTGCCATCACACCCACACACGTGTTAGTGACTGTAGTGTGTGTGCCATCACACCCACACACGTGTTAGTGACTGTAGTGCATGTTGTTTTTCTCTGGTCAATACAACTCTGGGTCATATCACAGTTAGACCTTAAAATTTAAATGAAAGACAAGGATGCAAAAGAAAAAGAAATTAGGCAAACAAGAGATCACTATCTATTGGTGAAATTTTTCTTTAAGATGAGAACTCGTACAGCAATGAAGGCAGCAGTATTGGCAAAAATGAGTGATGGATAGAGATGTACAGATATGAATACAAAAGGCGAGAGGAATTTCCAAAGCACTAGAAAAACTGAAGATCAAGAGAAATTAAACCTGAGACCAAACTTGGATTATTTAACTGTAATCTGAAATCAGTGTTGTTATATGGAGCACAGGCATGGAGAATAATTATAGTAATTACTAATTAACTACAAACCTTCGTTAACCGTGCCAGTGCTAAATTAAAAAGTACTAAGTTTTACGACGGATCTCTTTCTCAGAGCAAAGGAAGTAACTAAAGAAATTCCAGCGAATCGAGAGGTCACGAGGGGTTCTCCGCAAGAAAACACTCTTCAGTTGACACTGTAAATGGATTGACCTTAATATCTTATTTGCCAGGTATGAGAATCTGGACAATGATGGTGCTGTTAATGAAGACCTGCCTAACAGCTGGGAATGTTCTAAATGCTGTAATGAGGGCAAGCAAGGGCAGCTGAAGGTAAGAATTGTCTAGCAGGGGAGAGAACCTAGCAGAATTTTGATACAGGGGTAGCAGAGCTTGCAGTAGGGGGGGGGGGGGAAGACAGGTTTGTCTGATGCTGCAGGGGGGGGGGGGGAGAGACAGGTTTGGTCTGATGCTGCAGGGGGGGGGGGGGGGGGGAAAGAAAACAGTTTGTCTGATGCAGGCAGGGGCGGGGGGGGAAGAGACAGGTTTGTCTGATGCTTGTGGGGGGGGGGGGGGGGGGGGTGGGGGGGGGACAGGTTGTCTGATGCTGCAGAAAAAACAAACATGGCTGCTGTATAGGTCGAATGGACAGGACACTAATATAATTTGAGCAAATATGTTGTTTGTTTCGTGTATTTTAAAAAAAACCCCACAAACAGCTGATATTTGTTTGTGTCTGCTATTTTAAAAACAACACACAAAATAGCTGATATTTTGTTTGTGATCGTTTTGTTTAAAACAACCACACAAATAGAGACTGTTGATGCTTTTGTTTGTGTCGCTATTTAAAAAACAACCACACAAAAAAATAGCTGTATTTTGTCTGTGTCGCTGCAAAAACAAACAAACATGCTGCTTTTGTTTGTGTCGAATTTAAAACACTAAATACCAAAATAGCTGCAAATATTTTGTTTGGTGTCGCTATTTAAAAAAAAACCCCACAAAATAGATGATATTTTGTTTGTGTCGCTATTTAAAAACAACCACACAAAATAGCTGATATTTTGTTGTGTCGCTATTTAAAAAACAACCACACAAAATAGCTGATATTTTGTTTTGTGTCGCTATTTAAAAAACCCACAAAATAGCGGATTATTTTGGGTTTGATGTCGCTACACAAAAAAAAATAGCTGATATTTTGTTTGTGTCGCTATTTAAACAAACAACCCACACAAAATAGCTGATTATTTTGTTTGTGTCGCTATTTAAAAAACAACCACACAAATAGCTGATATTTTGTTTGTGTCGCTATTTAAAAAACAAAACCACACAAAATAGCTGATATTTTGTTTGTGTCGCTATTTAAAAAACAACAACAAAATAGCGGATATTTTGTTTGTGTCGCCTATTTTTTTTAAAAACAACACACACAAAATAGCTGATATTTTGTTTGTGTCGATATTAAAAACAACCACACAAAATAGCTGATATTTTGTTTGTGTCGCTATTTAAAAACAACCACACAAAATAGCTGATATTTTGTTTGTGTCGCCTATTTAAAAACAACCACACAAATAGCTGATATTTTGTTTGTGTCGCTATTTAAAAACAACCACACAAAATAGCTGATATTTTGTTTGTGTCGCTATTTAAAAACAACCACACAAAATAGCTGATATTTTGTTTGTGTCGCTATTTAAAAACAACCACACAAAATAGCTGATATTTTGTTTGTGTCGCTATTTAAAAACAACCACACAAAATAGCTGATATTTTGTTTGTGTCGCTATTTAAAAACAACCACACAAAATAGCTGATATTTTGTTTGTGTCGCTATTTAAAAACAACCACACAAAATAGCTGATATTTTGTTTGTGTCGCTATTTAAAAACAACCACACAAAATAGCTGATATTTGTGTTTGTGTCGCTATTTAAAAAACAACCACACAAAATAGCTGATATTTTGTTTGTGTCGCTATTTAAAAACAACCACACAAAATAGCTGATATTTTGTTTGTGTCGCTATTTAAAAACAACCACACAAAATAGCTGATATTTTGTTTGTGTCGCTATTTAAAAACAACCACACAAAATAGCTGATATTTTGTTTGTGTCGCTATTTAAAAAACAACCACACAAAATAGCTGATATTTTGTTTGTGTCGCTATTTAAAAACAACCACACAAAATAGCTGATATTTTGTTTGTGTCGCTATTTAAAAACAACCACACAAAATAGCTGATATTTTGTTTGTGTCGCTATTTAAAAACAACCACACAAAATAGCTGATATTTTGTTTGTGTCGCTATTTAAAAACAACCACACAAAATAGCTGATATTTTGTTTGTGTCGCTATTTAAAAACAACCACACAAAATAGCTGATATTTTGTTTGTGTCGCTATTTAAAAACAACCACACAAAATAGCTGATATTTTGTTTGTGTCGCTATTTAAAAACAACCACACAAAATAGCTGATATTTTGTTTGTGTCGCTATTTAAAAACAACCACACAAAATAGCTGATATTTTGTTTGTGTCGCTATTTAAAAACAACCACACAAAATAGCTGATATTTTGTTTGTGTCGCTATTTAAAAACAACCACACAAAATAGCTGATATTTTGTTTGTGTCGCTATTTAAAAACAACCACACAAAATAGCTGATATTTTGTTTGTGTCGCTATTTAAAAACAACCACACAAAATAGCTGATATTTTGTTTTGTGTCGCTATTTAAAAACAACCACACACAAAATAGCTGATATTTTGTTTGTGTCGCTATTTAAAAACAACCACACAAAATAGCTGATATTTTGTTTGTGTCGCTATTTAAAAACAACCACACAAAATAGCTGATATTTTGTTTGTGTCGCTATTTAAAAACAACCACACAAAATAGCTGATATTTTGTTTGTGTCGCTATTTAAAAACAACCACACAAAATAGCTGATATTTTGTTTGTGTCGCTATTTAAAAACAAACCACACAAAATAGCTGATATTTTGTTTGTGTCGCTATTTAAAAAACAACCACACAAAATAGCTGATATTTTGTTTGTGTCGCTATTTAAAAACAACCACACAAAATATAGCTGATATTTTGTTTGTGTCGCTATTTAAAAAACAACCACACACAAAATAGCTGATATTTTGTTTGTGTCGCTATTTAAAAACAACCACACAAAATAGCTGATATTTTGTTTGTGTCGCTATTTAAAAACAACCACACAAAAAAAATAGCTGATATTTTGTTTGTGTCGCTATTTAAAAACAACCACACAAAATAGCTGATATTTTGTTTGTGTCGCTATTTAAAAACAACCACACAAAATAGCTGATATTTTGTTTGTGTCGCTATTTAAAAACAACCACACAAAATAGCTGATATTTTGTTTGTGTCGCTATTTAAAAACAACCACACAAAAAAAATAGCTGATATTTTGTTTGTGTCGCTATTTAAAAACAACCACACAAAATAGCTGATATTTTGTTTGTGTCGCTATTTAAAAACAACCACACAAAATAGCTGATATTTTGTTTGTGTCGCTATTTAAAAACAACCACACAAAATAGCTGATATTTTGTTTGTGTCGCTATTTAAAAACAACCACACAAAATAGCTGATATTTTGTTTGTGTCGCTATTTAAAAACAACCACACAAAATAGCTGATATTTTGTTTGTGTCAAAATAGCTGACAAAAATAGCTTTTGTTTTTGTGTCGCTATTTAAAAACAACCACACAAAATAGCTGATATTTTGTTTGTGTCGCTATTTAAAAACAACCACACAAAATAGCTGATATTTTGTTTGTGTCGCTATTTAAAAACAACCACACAAAATAGCTGATATTTTGTTTGTGTCGCTATTTAAAAACAACCACACAAAATAGCTGATATTTTGTTTGTGTCGCTATTTAAAAACAACCACACAAAATAGCTGATATTTTGTTTGTGTCGCTATTTAAAAACAACCACACAAAATAGCTGATATTTTGTTTGTGTCGCTATTTAAAAAACAACCACACACAAAATAGCTGATATTTTGTTTGTGTCGCTATTTAAAAACAACCACACAAAATAGCTGATAATTTAAAAACAACCACACAAAATAGCTGATATTTTGTTTGTGTCGCTATTTAAAAACAACCACACAAAAAAAATAGCTGATATTTTGGTTGTAAAACAGAAAACTAGCACATTCTCGTTTGCATGACAGATCTGATATTATTGCAATGAGAAAGAAAATACTGGTTGTTACAAAATTAATATTTTATGTCGAAAAAAAAAACCACAAAATTTTTACGCTGATAATTTTTTTGTAACTTTTTTTCTGTTACCTTTTACTCCCACAGCCACGAGTTCGACCTGGCAGTTCTAAAAAAATGAAAGCCGAAGATCATCGTGTTTCTGCTGATAGTGATGACAGCCAAGAGGAGGAGCCACTGTCCCCACTGAGTCCTGTGGAGGGCAAGAGGGTGGTAGCAAAGGAAGCTAACACAGCCAGAAGCGGCGACGGCTCCTTCATTAAAACAGAAACTGGCGCCAGCAAATGGCCTTCACCTTCTAAAAAAATCTTAGCCTTCTCCGATGTCAAAGTGAAAAATGAAGACAGCACATCATCAACGATATTATCATCAATTCCTGTACCACAGTCCTTGAGCAGAGACGAAAATGCAAAGAAACGAAATCAGCAGCCGAGCTCTCACTTGTCGAGTGGTCACAAAGATCACAAGAAGCCATTAAAAAAGGAGAAGGTAAATAATTTGTTTGCATCTTTTTTTAAATTTTTTTTTCATTTCCCTCCCAAGTTACAGACTGAAAAACTGACTTGAAAAATTGCTGATTTTCCTTCTAGGAATGCAGACTGAAAGACTGACTCTCTGTGACTCACTTTTCCAGTGTAAACCTTCTTTTTCACTTCCTCTTTTCGGCCTTAAGTGTCGAGGGAGATGTGAAATCCTCATGGCTTTCAGCGGGCCGTACAGGAGTCATTGTGGGAGAAAATGGGAGCCTCAGAGTGTAAACATTCTAAAAATAGCTGCCCATTTCCGCTGCAGTCAACCTCCATTCAGGAACCAACTTCCCCCTTTCCCCACATCTCCCAAAAAATTGTCTACAGGATAATTTTGAAAGATTCTGGCTGTGCCAGGTGGCAAGAAAATGAAGATGGCACATTAGTATGTAATGTTGTGACCTAGTTTTTGCAGGGATCAGAGGTCACGGACAGCAGCCTGGCAGTTATTTTGGTTTCAATTCTCAGACAGGTCGATCCAGGTCGATCCAGGTCAACCTAGCTGCCAGTGGTAACCTGGTCATGTCCTGGGAAGTAAAGGTGGTCTATAAATATAAACTATATGTTTATTGTTGATTGGTCTATACAAAATTAATTATTGTGTTGATTGGTCAATACAAAATTAATTATTATGTTGATTGGTCTATAAAAAATTAATTATAATGTTGATTGGTCTATACAAAATTAATTATTATGTTGATTGGTCTATACAAAATTAATTATAATGTTGATTGGTCTGTGAAAAAAAATTAAGTTTGTGTTGGTTGGTGTATACAAAAATTAGGTATTATAAAGATTGGTCTACTAAAAAAAATAAATTATGTATGATTTAGATTAGTCTATAAAAAATTTAATTATTATGTTGAATGATCTATAAAAAATTAGGTAATGTGTTGTTTGGTCTGTAAAAATAGGCTAGTGCTGATTGGTCTTTAAAAAATAGGCTAGTGCTGATTGGTCTTTAAAAAATAGGCTAGTGCTGATTGGTCTTTAAAAAATAGGCTAGTGCCGATTGGTCTTTAAAAAATAGGCTAGTGCTGATTGGTATACAAAAATAGGTCTAGTGTTGATAGGTCTAAAAAATGTCTAGTGTTGCTTGGTCTTAGTTTTGGTTGGTCTAAAAAAAATTGATTTAGTGCCTCATACATAATGTGACACACGTTTTTAAAAAAAACCAAAATCAATTAAAATCAAACTACTAATTGTAAGAGTCTGGCAAACCACACACAGCCAGCACATTCTGGGCTTGTTTGAGGACATTCTGGGCTTGTTTGAGGACATTCTGGGCTTGTTTGAGGACATTCTGGGCTTGTTTGAGGACATTCTGGGCTTGTTTGAGGACATTCTGGGCTTGTTTGAGGACATTCCATATAAGGATAGGCAACTGACTTTATTTGAGAGTTTACCATGTACACCAGTCAATTAATATTTACTAGTTTTTTTCTGGTCATTGACACGTGTCTCCTTTCATTGCTTGCAGACGCCAGCACCTAATTCTCCCTTGACTCATCAACATGACGAGACACCCCCCCACCTTCGTAAACGCCCTACAGCAGTACCAAGCAGCAGTGGGGATAAAACCAACACCACATCACAGACAGACGCAGCTGGCAAACGCCCAAAAAGAGAG